TGTTTCATTTAGCCACAAAAATGTTGGGCTCAATTGTGATCATAAGTTGAGGACTACCTGCATTTAAAGTGGATCTCTAGAAAGCTGAATTAGCATTTCCAGTTAAAGCTATAATGGGCATAATGGATAATCCGCCACAGATGGCAAATTACAGAAATTAAATGAATTGAAACATTTATCTAGATTTACCAAAACACTATAGAGCAATGGAACTGTGAATAGCAAAGGCATGGCAAAAACAGAAACTTGCCAAAGATTGATGCAGAAATGTCAATTTGAAAAGTCCTTTAATCAAATCAAATGCAAAATTTGTTTTGCAGGGGGTTTTTTCCCCAGCCCCAGCATTTCTGTATCTAATTAGCCTGGACAAATGTTTATCAGCAGTGTCCTCAAATAATATTACATCTTTTCCGAGCATTCCTGAGAGGAAGCCAATAAATCATATAATATTGCTGTGAGCTCTTGTCTTCAGTAACCACATTTTAAAAATGCATAATTCTTTCAATTCTTTGCCAAAAACTGAACAGCGTATTCCAACTTGTCTGGGTTAAATTGCCTAAATTGCTTAGGCCTATCTTCTTGTTTTGAAGCAAGAATATTAAAGAGTTGAGAGGACCCAGAGCTGCTGTTCCTGTGTCATGTTTTTAAAAGGGACAAAAGTGTTAGGACTGACATCCTGTCAGTGGTTCTTTTGCCATGTCACCAGAATTATCCATGGCTGCAAAATTTACTGGCCGCCCTCATGATGCCAACGTTGTCCAACTGATATCCGTGGCTCCTCTCCTGTCTTTCCTCATCATGCAGGTGTATCTGTTTCTCCACCCAAAAACTTACCACATTATCAGCACAATTCAAAATGGAAGGCAATTATACTGTGATACCATATCCATGGAGTTCCATTCCCTGTATCTGTCATTCAATCATTCTCCTCCCCAGCTCCTTCAGAACAAATCTGAATGTCCAATTATCCTCTAACAAAATCTTGTGCTGTATTTTCAGGAGATAAATAGATGTTGTTTCATGAGGTAAGGAGAAAGAAAATGATTAGCAAGTATTTTACTTCTGTAGGGAAAGGATTCTTCCATATTCAGATGCAGGAGGAAAAAGACCTGTAGAAGAACTGTAGAAGAACAATTATTATTTGCTCCAGTTGGAGAAGGTCAAAAACAATTATCAGCTGGCCATGTTTGTCAGGAAACATCCTAATGTTTTGTAACCATGACACAGATGGAATGTAGCATTATGACTATTAGAATAACAAGATCTATTGAAAAATAATCCAGTAATATTTAATTCATTATGAGAAGACTTGAATAACTGCTCTTTGGCAATATCTCTGCTGGATTTTTCTGCTAAATTCTGGCAAGATTAGACAATTTATTAAAACACAAAAACACAACTGTGTTGTGGAATGGTTGGGCAATTCTGTTTTATCAGAATCCAGCTTCCTATTTCAGAAGGAAGCAGTTGGTGGTCAATGCACTATATCTTGCCTGCATATGTCTAGCAGTTGGAGATGGCTCATCTGTGTTTTGGACAAACATATCATTGCTGTCTAGAGCAAAATGTGCTTGAATACATATGCACTGCATCGATTGTTTGTTTCTGCTCACTCTCTCCAGCTTTCAGAAAAGGGAAACTGTCATTCTGTGGCTTTTAATCTCATCCAGAAATACATCCATGAAGGCATGGTTAGATGGATGGCTTTATAAGAGGCTCCTACATTTTATGATACCTACGTCAGTTACTGATTGAGGAATCTGAAGATTGCCTATCTCTATTGTAGTATTTTCCATGGTTTTCTGTAGTTTGACAGTAAAGGTTAATACCGGCAGTGGTATTCCCATTTTTTTACTACCAGTTGTATGGGCATGGTGTGGTGGGCATGGCAAGGGAAGGATGCTGCAAAATCCTATTCCCTCCCCACCCCACTAACCTGCTCTCCAGCTTCGTTCTCCTGTACAGGGCAACAAAAGAAGACCCAGCTGATCAGCTGGGGCTCGGGAGGCAGAGAATAGATGGGGATAGAGCCAGTCGGAGATGGTATTTGCAGGTTCTCCAAACTACACAAAATTTCTTCTACCAGTTCCCCAGAACTGATCAGAACCTGCTGAATACCACCTCTGGTTAATACCCAATCCTGCATTTTAATAACCTAGAATACCACATTCTTAATTGTGTTACTTTCTCTGCCCCTCTTGATGCTCCTTCTCAAATTTAATTGGGGAAGGGATCCAATTTTAATCTCTGTGATAAGCATAATGTACTAGCTTTAGTTCTTCATGCCCATGAAGCCAACTTGACCATTTCTTACCCTTTAAATAAGTGGAAAGGATCAGGAAATTCATAACTAAATTATAGTAGTGGTGTAATATTTACATACAAGCCATGTCCAGCGAGTCACATGACCACCAAGCCACACCCACAAATTAGGCCATGCCCACAGAACCGATTAGTGGTCCCTGGGATCTAAAATTATGAGTTTGGTGGTACCTGAAGTCCAAAAGGTTGGCGACCCCTGCTATAGTTGATGGGGCTCAGTCTGCAATAGTGGCAATCCAACCAATTCTACAGATGGAACTGACAGCTGGAACACCAGCAATTTCTACCTATGTATGACAGCAAGGTATCCTGTCAGATGGTTGTTTCCTTCATTGATTCAATCCATATCATTTTGTCATCATTCCCTCCCAGGGATCAGAAGGCATCCTCAATTCCATCCTAATTAGGGTTGCTATTCCAGGACTGTGTTGATTCCTGCACATATGGTCACCTTCACTATGAATATATGAGTCCTGTTGTTATGTCACCATCAAAGTATCTCATCATTTCTTTATTGCTTATTCAAGGTCTAAATGTGGAGATTGTGCATTATTTTATCAATGACTTTAACCACCTGGTTGTGCTTTGAGCTGGTCAGGAGCTACAACTAGTAGCTTTGCTATGCTGGCTGAGGAATTCTGGGAGTTGAAGTCCACAAGTCTTAAAGTTGCTAAGTTTGGAGGCCTCTGTTCTACAAGATAAGTGGCTTCATTTTTTTTCAGAAGACTTACAACCAGTAACTATTGAAGTCCAAAAGCAGCCTTCTCTTCCTACAGTGATCATTTTTACCATGACCATAAGGATTTCCTATACCTCGAATTAAAGGGGCTTCTAGGACAGAAAGTTACTTTTAATCTAAAGTGATTCTATGAGTAAGAGTGACAAAATATTATCAGCATTCTTTCTGGTAAAAGAAATCCATGTGTGGATAATCTATGCCCCAGCTGGAAAGACTAACAGAACTATAATTCCCAGCATCCCTCACTACTGCCCATACTATCTGGATCTATTGTAATAGAAACATATGAAGCTTTGCTGTTTCCCATTCATTAATGCAGTAAATTCATTCATATGCTGATGCTCATTTGGTATGTCTGAATCACAACCCTGATTTGAATCTTAATGAACTATCTACATGCATCTTTATAGACCTGCATCCCTGTCCAGAGTCAAAGACATGGGTGAGACTAATGCATTAATTGGATCATGGGCAAGATATCTTCCTAACTGCAGAAATGTTTTAAAAACAGCAGCTGAAAGTACAGACTATTTATAGTCATAAGCATCTTAAAGTGGTACTCAACTATTTCTCCAAGTGATAGAGTTGATGTGACTTCTATTTCTTCGGAACAGTATAGTTTTGTAATATCTATTTGTTTGAAGTACACAAGCAGAGAATACTGTAGGAAAACAGATATCCTTTGTCTAATTTTTGGCAAGTGGGGTTTGTAGACCCCTTTTCCAAAGCCCTAAAAAAACTGTTTTTGTGTAGTTAAAATTCTCAGCATTTTGCATTGTAATTCCACGCTCCATTCTCTTTGTGGCAGAAAGCTCCCTCAAACTGTATTTAGTCCATGTAATTATAGAGATGATATTCATTTACGGTATTTCTATTCTTATACACTGCCTTTCAGGAACCAACCCTCCCGAGATGACTCGCAATATTTGAAAAACATAAGCAGTCATTATAACATATTGCGAAGTGTAAAGCCATAATTTATAAAGCATAAAAAAATGTAACAGCAGTGATTAAGTAATATAAAAGAGTACAAGCAGTAAAGCATAAAAATTTCAAACAGCAGCAGTTAAATTCAGAACAACTTAAATGCCAATTAAAAGAAAGTTGGAACAAAGAGACTTCAGGGACCTAGAAATATATTTCTACTGAAGAAGGCTATTTCATAAGCTTAAAAAGGCCCATTTCTAATTGCCCACCTTGTCTAATACCCTACAAGCAAGGCCTTAAAGCCAGTCTTAGTATCACAACAAAATTGTTTGATCCTAAATCTTTGAAAAATGTGGCTTATGTTGTACCTCATCCCATAACTATGCATTCTGTACCAGTTGAAGCTTTCAAATATCTTTGAAAGACAGACTGCCACAGAACACATTATAGCCTTGGTGGGTGACTAGAGTTTATATGGGGAGGTCATATAAAGCAGGGGTCTCCAACCTTGGCAACTTTCAGACTTGTGGACTTCAACTCCCAGAGTTCCTCAGCCAGCTTTGCTGCCTGAGGAACTCTGGGAATTGAAGTCCACGAGTCTTAAAATTGCCAAGGTTGGAGACCCCAAATATAAAGGCATGTTAGCAAGAGAAGAGCGGAAAACTAGTTTAATATAGCAGATAAAGGCACCAGGCTAGAAATTGGGGGACTTTGCATTCAACTCTTGCCTTAGAAATACAGCCAATTGGGTAACTTTGGGAAGTGTCTATCAGGAAGATAAAAAAAAGAGATGGTAAGCCACTTCTAAAAATATAGACCAGAAAACCACAGTGACTTGTTCAGGCAATCACCGGGTGACAAGATTGACCTGAAGGCATAAAATTAAGATATGAATTAGCTAGGGAAGAGGGCAGGTGTCATCCACGAAACTGAAAGAGACAAGATTAGAAAATGTTGCAATAATTCAATGTATTGTTATTTCATTTTAGCCTTCTTTTTTCTTCTTCTGCAGGTTCCTGGAGAGAAAGTTGTTGGTAAGGAGATGACAGTAATAGTGGAGTTCCCCAACCCTCTGAAGCAAAATCTCACTGATGTCTGGGTCCGACTTGATGGCCCCGGTGTGCTAAAACCAGTCTCAAAATTATTCAGGTAACGATAGGTCTAGCATGGCATAGTTTTCTGGGTATTCATTACAAAATGAACACTAAATGTGCCACCATATTTGAGCAATATCGACTTCTATCTTGAGGGCATGAAATCAATCTTCTCCAACCATTTGTCCTCCAGGTGTTTCAGGATTATAACTCCTAAGAATTGTAGCTAGCATGGCTCTGCTAATTGGGAATTTAGGGCAGAGGTCTCCAAACTTGGCAACTTTAAGACTTGTGGACTTCAATTCCCAGAGGAATTCTGGGAGTTGAAGTCCACAAGTCTTAAAGTTGCCAACTTTGAGGACCCCTGATTTAGGGAGTGATTACCTCCAAATATCTGTGATTTAGAGGAATTGGTCTAAATAATTATAAAATCATGTTCCTTCCCTAGGCCTCAATGACAGCAAGATACCATATCCAGATAATGAACAAGATAACTTAATGTTACAGTAATGTGTTACTGGAATAGTTTAGCAGCTAAATTATGAATATGTAATCCAGCAAAACTAATTTAAAATGTCACTTATTTTAAGAAAACATGAAATAAGGTAGCATTTCTCTGCCTCATCCTCATTATCCTTACTGGTCCATCTGATATTGACGATAGTAATAATACACGTTGCAAAGTTGGGGCATTCTTATAAATTTAACTCAAATTCCTTAAACATTGAAAAATTCCTATATAAATTCTCCTGACACTTCCATGCGAGTCAGTCTGAAAGCAGATCCAGGTCAACATGTATTTGGGGATCTGTTCTGTATTCTGTATCTAATTTAGACTGATTTTAGACTGATTTAATTCAGGTTCAGCTATGATGTAGCTAAAACCAGTCTCAAAACAGTCTCTTCTCTTTTTCTCTCTTCTCCTCTTCCCTTGTTGGAAGGAAAGCATCACTCGCCTTTCCTCCCAATTCCTCAACTTCAGATCCCACAAAGAGAATGCTAGCTTGTTGGCTATGAAGCTCTCCCTCAAAAGGCAAGAGGAAAAAAAGAGGAATGACCTTTGAAAAGCCAGTTAGTTAGTTAGTTTCGGTCTTTCAGAAACCACAAGAATTGGATTTTTTAAAGTAACAGTTAAAAAGGGGGGGGAGGGGAGATTCTTCAGCTTGCATTAATATACAAATTGAACCTGCTTGTTAAGATTGTAGTGAAGATTAGCTGCGTTCTGAGTAGGGAGAGAATTTCAGCTAAGTTTCAAACTTCATTGCAAGGAAAATTCCCCTTTATTAATTATCTTGTAATCAAGTAAGCTTTTTTTCTTTCAGTAGTAATTATAACATAATATTTTAATCTGGTTCTGTTATTTTTAAATATTTTACTGGTTTTTTTTTTAGTTTTCTGCTGCCATTTTTATATTTATTTTTATAATGATATTGAAAGAGTGGTTTTAAGAGTAAAAGCAAGAACAAGGACTCTACAATCATCTAGATATTGCTGAACAGCAATTTCTAGTATCTTAGATCATTGTCAATGTTGTTTGGATCTGTGAGAAGTTTTAACTTAGCAGTCACTCATGAGCTATAGGTTTCCTGTTCTTGTGTTAAATTATGGAACTATTTCAATATAAGGTGTGTTGTAAATGTTAATAAAAGTACTGAATTACATTTTCATTTGGCATGATTGTGGTAAGTTAAATTCATAGAAAATAAAACCATCACCATTGTTTAAAAATTCACCCCATTTTCCTCATTACATTGAAGATGATAAATGACCAGTCCACCTTGATGGCTCAACACATTATCAAGAATCATCCATCACCACATTATTCCAAGTCAATCAAATTAGTTTGGTTTTATTCCATTAGCAAAAAATTAATACTTTTTCTGTCTGGGATGCATTCCAGTTTTGTTTTTACTTATTTTTGAACAAGTCCTTTTGGAATGCCACGTCCAGTCTTCTAGATTGCATTATTTCTTCCTTGACAATTATATGCAAGGTAGAGGTGGTATTCCGCAGGTTCTGACCAGTTCTGGAGAACCAGTAGCAGAAATTTTGAGTAGTTCAGAGAACCGTCAAATACCACCTCTGACTGGAGATTTTACAGTATCCTTCCCCTGCCATTCCCACCAAGCCACGCCCACAGAACCGGTAGTAAAAAAAAATGAATCCCACCACTGATGCAAGGGGTTATTTTAAGCCATCAAGATTTATACAAAAAATATATGTGCTACTATACTGCAGTCACCAGCTTCAACAAGCATTCGAGATTTTGTTCATGCTACTATAGAGTCAAGGCTCAAGTAGAAACAGTTCTGAAATTGCTTGTTATTAAATTAAAGTTTAAAGATCTAAAAGCCAAATCACATGCTAAGCAGATCCATGGATAACCCAGTCATACCCTCCATGAAGAGGTGGTATTCAGCAGGTTCTGACCAGTTCTGGAGAACAGGTAGCAGAAATTTTGAGTAGTTCAGAGAACCAGCAAATACCACCTCTGACTGGTCCAGCCCCCATCTATTCTCTGACTCCCAAATCCCAGTGATCAGCTGGGTCTTCTTTTGTTGCCCTGCATAGGAGAACAGAGCTGGAAAGCAGGTTAGTGGGGTGGAGGGAGTGGGATTTTGCAGTAACCTTCCCCAGGAGTGGGGAGGGAATGAGATTTTGCAGTATCCTTCCCCTGGAGTGGGGTAGGAATTGAGATTTTACAGTATCCTTCCCCTGCCATGCCCACCAAGCCACACCCATAGAACCGGTGGTAAAAAATGTTGAATCCCACCACAGCTTCCATGTGTATATTTTTCATTAAGAATATTGGATTCAGTTGGGGACATAGCACTTGAGTCACAACCATTATTTCTGCGATTATTATCTTGATTTAAATCACCTTTCTACAACTATAATTTGCCCAAGGTAGGTAAAAAAACAGATAAGTTAAGACAAATATATACAGTATGAAGTCAGGTCTATATCTTAAAAAAAAAAACAATCTGAGCAAATTTTAATTTTTAGAACAAAGCTCTATCTAATATTACAGTCCTGATGTAAATCCATCCATTCTTCTTACAACTACCTTGTAAGTTAAATAAACACATCTCAATCATAAGTTGTCTCAAAAAAGAATATGCCTCTGACTGATGATTGTGCATTTGCGTAGGTTGTCTAGATATATGTACATTTTTTTAGGCTTTAAAATAACCCCGATAATTGGAGATAGGTTATCTGTTCAAATCAGAGATTCTTTTTTCTTCTACCAAGAATGCTAGTTTATACATTAGAGTTATAAACCACGTCAAACTATGATTGCATTATTGTATTTCACTGCAGAGAGGTTCCAAGGAATTCAACCTTGATCTGGGAAGATAAATATGTTCCAAAGAAGTCTGGCTTCCGAAAGTTGATTTCAAGCTTGAATTGTGATGCCTTACGACATGTCTATGGCGAGGTGGACATCAATATTCAGAGTGCCGAGTAAAGATCTTCTCCCTTCTTTCTTTTTTTTAATTCAGTAATTCCACCTTTCATTACAGGAAAGTAAAAGAAAGAACTGTACTTTCAAATGCCATAATCCAGAATTTGCCAAACAAACATTCTGCGCATATGCTTACCATTTTTTTTAGTTTATTTTCAGGGCGGTTCCCCCCCTCAAAACGATGAAAGGTTAAGTTCATATAAACATACATACACATATACACATGTTCATTTGCCTTTCCTCAGTTAATTACATGAGGTACATAATCCCCACTTTTGTTACAAACAACACTTTAAAATCTGTTGAACTAAGGGATTGTGATTAAGCACTAAGCCTCACACTCATGAGAGTTTGATTGAGAGCAAGATAGATGGCCCAGAAGCAATTTAAGTCAAAATCTCCTACTTCCTGATACAACACTGTTTGTACCATCATACCAAATTACACACCAACATTGCAAGTTTACTTACACTGAATTTCTTTGCCCATTCATGTCTTTGCTGAGATTTAACACTAGACTGTTTCTTCTTTCGTCCCAAAGTGTCATAAGCATCACTAAAAGAGAATAACTGAGCAGAATAAAAACAGAATTATTTCAACAAACAGCAGAAAATTACTCAATATGAATTAGTTCCAGTGATAATGTCCCCAACTAATAAGAATGTATGATGTTACATATTAAAATCAGGACAATTTTAAAATATTTCAGCTTCTGGAGCATTCTGAATTCTAGTTTTAATTGAAATTTGATATCCCATAGATATTTTGGGAAAAAAAAGAAAAAATCAGGACAATAAAATGTTCCCTTTGTTGTCCTTTATTCCTTTGATGTGTGCAAAGTGAGAGTTTGATTCTGAAAACATAAGTTGAATTTTTACCTTCTCGCCCCCCCACTTTCATAATAACTAAATTCTTATCAGCATTTTGAGCACTGCCGAGGCCTAATGTGCAGAAGCCATCTTGTTTTTCATGGCGAAGAGTTAAAGAAGTCATGAGATATACTTTCGCACTTCTGTTAGCAAGTCATAGATCCAGAGGGCATCTTTGAGATTTCGCTGAGAAACACAGCTGCAGCTATGTCTGAAGTGGGTGAGAGCAAAATCAGAACAATGGTGGATGATATGCTGTGACGCTAGCTCTGCCCCTTTTGAATGGGCATGCAGTCTCAGGGTGGATTTTGAACCTCCTCACAGCAGTCAGTGCAGCTGCTTAGATACATTCCTTTATGTGGCTTGCCAGCAATTTCAGTTACAAATATTAATCTGATCTATCAGGGTAACCAAAGTATTCTGACTTAGGTGATATCAAATTGTGGCTCACTACTGCCATTAAATATATACAAATTAATGAATTGAACTTGCTAGAATATCAATTGGCTGTGATTACTGATTGCTAGCAGAGGCATCTAGGATGATATATAAGAAGAATAAAAAGACATCCCACCCTTAAAGACTACCCCTTGCATGGCTCTGTGCCTACTTCACATCTGTGTTTTGGTAGAGAGATTGCAAAGGGTTAAATCCAACACTGGGACATCGATCCACAAGCTGCAATCCTTTATCGGCAAGATAAAGGCAAGATAGCCGTGCTGTATTATTAAACAAATGTTGGGAAACCTGCTCCAGATTTTTAAAATCATAGGAATTTACTTTCTTGAAACTTACAAGGTGGCACTAACCTAGCCAACTCTGTTCTCAAAGAGCTAAGCAGAACCATGGTTAGTATTTGGATGGGAAGCTACTAGAACAACTCAGAAGATGACAACAAATAAATAAATTCTGTACTGTTTCCAACTCTGTAAGAGGGCAGCAGTGTAAGTCCATGCAGGCAGTCCTCGATTCGTGATCATAATTGAGTCCAAATTTTTCATTGCTAAGTGAGACATGTGCTAAATGAATTATGCCCCATTTTTACGACCTTTCTTGCCCGGTTGTTAAGTGAATCACTGCAGTTGTTAAGTTAGTAACCGGGTTGTTAAGTGAATCTGGCTTCCCCGTTGTCTTTGCTTGCCAGAAGGTTGCAAAAGGGGATCAAGTGACCTTGGAACACTGCAATTATCATAAATATGAGTCAGTTGCCAAGGGCCTGACCATGGGGATTCTGCAATGGTCATAAGTGTGAACAACAGTCATAAGTCACTGTTTTCAGTGCTGTTGTAACTTCGAATGGTCACTAACCAAACTTGTAAGTTGAGGACTACTTGTAGAGCCCAAAAAATTAGGAGGTGTCTATTGGCAGAATAACACGTTTTGCTGCAAAGCAACTGAGCTGTAACTTATAAAAGCTTTTCTTTTTTTGTCTGAAACGATGCTACCAGACACCTACTGTTGCCAAAAAAACTATATCGCCAGACTCATGAAATTGTTAGCAGTTGAACTTGGCAAGGAAGACTTTACTTTTTCACCATTATCATCAAAATCTTTTATTTTAACCTGGAGTCAAGCCATTGTTTCAGAAGAAAAGTTGCTTGTGGAATATTCTCCTTCAAGTCTCAATTGAGTTGGCTGTAGATAATAGCATGTTGTACCTTGGGTGGAATTTGTGGAACAACTTGTAATTTAAGGCTCCAGCAAGGCTATTTTAAGTGGACATTGATAATAAGCCTCTTATGCAACTCTTGGTGTGCCTTGAGTTTATTCCTTTGAGAAATTATCTAATTAAAGTGTGCATTGTTAATGAAGTCAGTTTTTATGTAAAATCTGATTATGCTGCTTTACACCCAAATCGACTAACTGTTAATCTTCTTTTCACTTTTGTGTCTTAAAAGCTCATATCTAAGTATATTTACCCATGTAGTATGGCTGAATTACTATTATCCTTCTCATCTTTTTCTACCAGATTCTCTTATTGGTATGTTAGGATTATATTACTTTGTTGTTTATATGTATACTAAGAGCCTTTGGACCAGAGACAAATTCCATGTATGTGCAATCACACTAGGCCAATAAAGTATTCTATTCTATTACCACAAACAAATGCAATGAAAAAAATCACCTTGTCTGCATGAGTCTCTTCTAATTCTGGTTGGTTGAATGTAGAGTGTATTTTGACTTCATGCAGACACCTACATTTTATTCCCTTTGGACAGTCTGATCCTAATCTACCATTTCCTAGATGTGCTGGATTGCATTTTACATGATAGGTTCCCCTATTGTTATAAATCAAGGATTTATTGCTGTACACCACAGCACCCCAAAGAGCCATAGATCACATCTGCAAAACCTCTAGATCAAAATTGCCAGTTTAACTCTGGTTTTTCATTTCATCAAGAAGGTAATTACTTATACAGTTGATAATATTTATGCTACAGCAAGCAGCAGCAGCATCTAGGCTTATCTTAGTTTTCTTGGAAACTAAGCAGGGTTTGGCTTTTTTATTTCTTAGTTGGAGAGCCAAAAAATTTCAGAGCTCCTGGGAAATGGAAAAATCATATTGGGAGAAAACTAAAGCAAGCCATATATCTAATGTTGCCAGGAAAACTGTGATCAATACTTGACTTATGGCCTTCTTTATATATATTTTCTGAGTATGAGGTCAATTGAATAAACTGTCTTTTAAATAAACCCACATGGAGCTATATGAAAAGCAAGCAAATTTTAATAAATCAATTTGTATATCCTTCATTTAGCAGAGTTTTTTTAAAACATCAGCTGAGATATTGGTGATCACATTGCCATAGACAGAATGTATTTGCATCTTGTTCAGTGACCAACCTAAATATCTAATTATTTGATTAAATATTTGACAATGGCAAATACATGACTTTGTGCAAGGTGGTAAAAGACTGGCCATTTTTGCAATCAGTATTGTATAAGTTTTAAAAAATGATTGCCACTTCTCCCAACTTTGAGAGTTGCGATTTGATTGGGAAAAAGTAACAGAGGCTGAGAATGAAGTTAGTGAAATTAGGGCTTGAAAGCTAAATCCATGGTTAAACAAACTGGGGAAGTTGAGCCTGAAAGGAAGTCCCAGCAATCTTCAGATACTTGAAAGGTTGTTATAAGGGAAAAAAGTGTGGATTTATTCTTTATGGTTCCTGAGGATAGGACAAAAACAAATGGGTGGAAACTTTACAAATCCTAATTCAAATAAGGAAGCATTTCCCGATCTTGAGTCAATAAAGGAATAGAACAACCAGCCTCCTGCAGTCATGGCTGTTCCATCACTGTAAGTTTTCAAGCATTTGTCTAAGATGGCACTAAGATTCCTGCCCTAAGTAGAGATTGGATGAGAAGACCTTCAAAATTCCTTCCCTGTTCATCATTCTATGACCTTCTTAGCAACCAAGTTTCTTCATTTATGGATATCCAAATTCTTCGGGCCTCTTATCGTACTGCTTCACTGCTCCAATCACCCTCCTGTCAGATATACTCCTCATTAAAAACGGGGTTTTCTTACAAGGTCTTTACATGCAATGGTTCTGAGAAGTAGACTTTTTGCAAGCATTTATCAATATCTCAAGTGTTTTCATATAGTAGGAGAATAGTCCTGCACACACACAAACATGCACGACAAGTACAGTACATGGGTTGGAAACACTTTGCAAAAAAATATTACTATTATTATTACTATTCCATACTAGTATTACTGTTAATACTTCGCTTTTCTCTCAAAAATCTGGGAGTTTGTGTAGAGCAAATAATATTATGTTTCTTCATGAATATAGGGTAATTGATATCTTTCCCTCTCTACAGGAAAAGCTCAATAACAAGGTTTTTGTATATATAATTTATTATATGTGCAAATATCAATAATATCTATTTGTCTTGACATGAGCAGTAGGCACATTTAAGGTTTTTTGTGCATAGAAACCTATTTTATATTACACTGTATAAAATCCATAGTGTAATAGAAATGCCAAGCTTGATTAATACAACTGATGGAAGCTTCTGTTGAACCTTTCTGAATGGTCTTTGTACAACCAGGAAAACTGAGAAGCTTTGAAAAGGATAACAAAACCAGAAGGCTGAGATTCACAACCTGCAAAATGCCACAATGCAGATTGTTCTTAGTCCCTTACTTTTCTATAGACTAGCTGTCCAGAACAAAGCCTATAGTGCAATCCTAAGCGTCAGCATTCCAACTAACCAACTCCAAACCAATAAACTCCAAGACAACAATTCTTCAAAGTTCTATTTTATTAAAGTTTGCACATCTGGGAAAACCCAAATCTGAGTTCCAGGTGTTCCCTTCCCAAAAGAGAAATCAATGATCCATCCCCTGCATCCATCAGTCCACCACATGGCCCAACCAAATCTTTGTCCCAACTGGAGATATTCCTCGAGACACTCCCCTCCAGGTGCAGGGCAACATGTCCTTGACTCTCTGAGAAAGAATGTTGTTGTGTCTAGTCTTCTACCCCACTATGAAACCCCCCCTCCCAAATTTCCAGGCACTGAATGTGGCAGCCTCGAAGCTTCCAAGTTAAAAATAGCTTCAAAGGCTGACACTAAGCCTTTTTCTCTGAAGGAAATCCCATTGAGTTCAACAGGAATATTCCTTAATAAGCCTACTGATTATTACTGTTTTAGTTCAGGACTGCACTATACTTTAGTGAACTGTTGATACTGTTTGCTTCTGTGCCTAGCAAATAAAAACAATATCAACTGTGAATGAAAGCGCATATACACGTCCCAGGACAATGTTGTAGGATCCAATCTGGGTCAATCACCGGGACTAGAGGTTTTGTCTTCAGAGGTTTCGGACTCATCCTGGAGACAATCTTCAGGGAACGTCTCTCTTCAGGAGAATTTCAGAGCGAAGTTCCTTGAAGATGGGCTCCCGCACGAATCCGAAAGCTCAGAAGGCAAAACCTCTGGTCCTGGTGACCAACTCTGATTGGCTCCTGCAACACCAACTATTCCCATTTCAGTTTGTTTGCTTCCACACGAGGAGGGAAGCAGAGAAAATGGAGTGCCAACTTCTCCAGCAATGAGCAGAAGATACAAGAAGACACAGGGCAACGGACTAGCTCCATGTCTCATCCCGCTTCAGTCTGACTGAAGCTCCTGAGGGAGGAAAGAAAAGTGCCACAAGCTATCTTATAGCAGCATCAACAAGCAAGCCCAAACACCAGCTTCCTTCAGCAGCTAAGAATAGAAAACCTCTGCTCTCAAAATAAAATGGCCAGACCTGTCTTTTCACCTCCCTTTACCAGGCACTTTCAGGTGTATTTAGCTGGAAGTGACACAAAGCTCCAGAGTGCTACAGTGGCCCCAGTGCATCCATGCAGTTTTTCAAAGTGACCAGATCCAAACTCTGTTGTTTCATCACAAAAGCCACATGGCAGAGCTACTCTCATGTATTAAGGCCCTTTCATTTATGTCAACAGGATAGAATAGAAGAACAGAGTTGGAAGGAACCTTGGAGGTCTTCCAGTCCAACCCCCTTCTCAGGCAGGAAATCCTACATCACTTCAGACAAATGGTTATCCAATCTCTTCTTTAAAATCTCTTCCAGTGTTGGAGCATTTACAACCTCTGGAGGCAAGCTGTTCCACTGATTAATTGTTCTAACTGTCAGGAAATTTCTCCTTAGTTTTTTTTTAATTTTTTTAAAAAATTTTAATACAGTCATTCCATCTTCAGTTGAACAGTGTGTTGTCTGGGTACAAACATCTTTGTTAAACAATAATCAAAATTACAACATCCTTCATTGCATATTAATTCTGCAATATTTAACCTAGTAATGTCCACCTATTAATTATACTGATTGATTATACAATATTAACGTAGTAGTATTCAACATATTAGTCACCCCATTAACTTATCTCCTTTAACACATCATCTTTATTTTGTTTCCCTATTTCTAACTTCCATTTTTATTATTTAACCATTGATAGAATAAATCC